AGGGGTGCATCTCAGGTGCATAATTATTGTTATTTGCCAGCAGAAAAGGTGTCATATTTGAGTAACTCGCACAGTCCCTAGCCAGACATTCAATCAATGCACTTGCCATGATGTTTGCCTTGGACTCGCCATCGACTACTCCTCCCTCCACGACTCGGACTACTCTCTGTGGCCTGTCTGGGCCGGTTTGGGTTCGTTGTTGACACTTTGGGAAAGTTGCTGAATGCTTGCCTAGCACAACAAAGTATCTGGCCGCTGGCTGCCACTTAAGTAGCTATCAGAAAGGGCTCCGAAAGCGGCTTATCACCCAATAGAGCAACAGCAGCAGCAGCAGCAGCAGCAGCAGCAGCTGTCGACAGTGAAAATCGCATTAGATCCAACCCCTCGAACATGGGCCGGGCCGGGCCAGGCCAGGCCTGTGTAAACTTCACGCCTATTCGGGAATTATGCAGCAGCATCAGAGGGAGCGTACGTAATGACTGCTAATGAGTCGAGTTTTGTGTTGTGGCACGTCAGCACACCATTCCCCATAGCCATCTCCATCGCAGCCTTGACACTGTGCTTGCGCCGTGTGTGCACATCAAACTCATTTGGCGCGACTTCTGTTCTGATTCCCCCCCCCCGCATTTTGTATATCTAGCGACAGGCAACAACATTAGCTTATCGCTGGAGTACACTGAACTCTCACGGAATCCGATTCCACCCAGTTCGGATCTTTGTTGTGGTGGTGCTCTGCTCCCTGCTCTGTTTATATTTGGGGCGTTGCTGTTGCGGCTGCAAGTTCAAGTGTTTTGGCTGAGAGAGAGAGAGAGAGAGAGAGCGAGGTCTAGCCGAGAGGCTTTGGATGCCAAAAGTATGCAAAGAGTAAATATTCAAATATGCAGCTGGATTAGCATTACATGTCTTACATATTGTTGCAGTTCTCAACGTTTGAAATGCATACTTGGGATTCCGCTCTCCCACTGGCACATTCCCACAATTTCCCACACCCCAGATCGCACGAATCCGGCCTCCCACTTGCCGCCTGTTGCGGTTCTCCAGCAATTGTCACAGCGAATATTACATAAATATTTTCATATAATGTGCGCAGCGACAGAGCCCAAACTGGCAACTGTCAATCCACCGATTCATGCAACCACCCTCCGCTCTAGAAGTTCATTAAGTCGCAGAGCAAACAGCGAACAGTTAAAGTTGCAGTTTGCAGCCGGTCGGACGAGGAGTTGCAATCCCAATCGGGGAACCATTAAGCGGGATGAGGCTTAGGGTTGTTGGCTTCGGCGAAAAGCGCAAGGTGGATGATGCCAAAGAGTATTGGGTAACAGCCCAGCTACAACCCCTAAAACAAAAGGCACAAAAAATTGCACATTAAGTGCAGCACTGCCGAATGCCGAATGCCGAATGTCGAAATAAAAGTGAGGAAACGTGCACAACCCCGGCCATCATACGCACAATTGACAGCCGGGAATTTCACACTTGGTCTACCCATTGTGCACGTGGAGAAGGGCTGTGATTCTGCTGTGATTCTCTCTAGCTGCTGTGGCCGTAAATATGCTGAGGCGATTGCAAGATTGATGAGCAAACACGTGGCCGCAATCAGAGTACATATGTTAGCCATGTTCCTCGGCCATTCGGCTATCACTTTCTTTGTGGTTTATCTGTGGAATCATTTGTGCCAATTCACCCGCTGTCCAAATACTTTTGACTTAATCTAATCACCGACACATTCCACAGATGCCGCAGACCGCAAAAATATATATTTATTGTATACATTCACATATAAAGCGCGGTACTAGTCGCATTTGGTGGATACGTTGTTGGACGCAACAAGTGTTAAAGTCCAGCGACAACACGTGCCTGGGCCGTTCTCTAAGGCAAACTAGTTTGCTATCATCCATGTACTGGACAGATCCAAAGACATCGGAGGAAACAGACTTTTGCGCTGCTGACAAGTTGGCTTCACTTAGCATATTTATCGGTCGATGGGATCGGGGCTGGGGCTCGAAACACTTGGAGTTTAATTTTGATTTGGAGTTGATTTATTTATTTCCAAATCACAAATACCCCCACAATCGAACGGACAAACTAATTAAGGCCTGAAAATGTCCAAGTGATTAGATTGCACTTTTCAAAAGTGGTTTGTGACGTAGACGCGCACTGCCCCAACAGCCACAAGCCACAAACAAATACTGACAGTTCTGCCACGAATATTTGTGAGCTTTTCGAAAGGTTGCCTGACCTTTGGGAGGTCCCAGCCACTGCCAGAGGGCTTGACAGGGCACGTAGCGGAGAGGAAAACTCTTCAATAGCACCAAAAGAAAACTATTCATTATTCAGGGCACATTCTCAGGGCAGCAGTACGGGTACGGGTACGGGCGTAAGCCAGACAAGAGCTGGCAGAGGGATCCTTTTGGCTCCGTTCTGAAACTTCTAGCCCAATCGCTGGGGCGTCACTGGCTGTGCTTCTGTCTGCATACCAAATAAGGTAATTATGAGTCGCATTGTAAAGGTACAACACACAAAAGTAATGCACACAGACAGAGGCTACAGCGACAGCGACTTGCCATAGAAGTGATATCCGATTACATACATGAGAATCCGCGCATAGAAGCGGCATGTTGGGCTTTTGTGTTTTGTATTAGAGAATTCCAATGCTGTAGTTTCGGTTTCAGTTTCAGCTGGAGTTCCTTTTTTGCCCGAGAGCTTTCCCCTTACCTGGGGACTTTCCACTTCCCCCCACGAGCCGCACTTCGAAATGGAAAAACTGTTCATATTTTTGGCAACTTTCGGGGTATGCAAGCGAAACATAAAGTGCTCGACACGTGAAAAGGCGAGCACAAAGCTGACTTAATTGCTTGCCAAAGCCAAAGCGAAAGCGAAAGCGAATGCGGAGAATAAAACGTTTGAAATTCTGCAACTCCTCCGTGCTTCGGGCTATGAGCTGCCAGCACTGAGCAATTTCATTTATATTCATGTGTGTGCACATTTCAAATGGACCTTATTGTCTGCCGTGAAATTGAAAAATGATAAAAATCGCACGCCACATGGCCCAGGGCATTTGACGTTTTTTTTTTGGGGACTGCCCACTGAGAGGGCAAATGGCTATGGGACTTGGGACATGGGACTTGCAATGAATTGCAAGGGGCTGCCTCTTGGCTTTTGCTTTTGACTTTCGGTCTCCGTTTTCGTCACCGTCTGCGTCTCTCTCGTCCTCTCCTCGTATTGATTTCTTGAGCTTGATTCTTAATATTTTCACTTTTCAACGTAGAACGAAGAACATCGAAGGCAGCGGTACTACAGAATGGAGGCAAAGCCAAGCCAAGCCAAGCCCAGCCCAGCCAAGGCAAGGCAAGAGACCTTCGTCTCAAGAAACTACCCTTCTTGGTCTTGAGTTCTCTGTTCTCTGTGCAGTGTTCAGTGTTCAGTGTTCGGTTTTCGTTTTGTTTTGTTCTTGGTTTTGTAGTTCAGTTCAGTTCAGTGCTAAGCTGAAATCAATGACCTTTTCGGCCTGGGCCTGGACATGGACCTGGCGGGGATTAGTGGCTCGTGAAACAGAATATGCAGAATACTTGTGTACCAAGACTTTCCCGCCGCTCTCGCACACACTCTTCAACTAGTTGTTCAGTTGAATCGATACAAAAAAAAAGATACATATATATATATTTAGCATTTTTCTGTAGCTTTTTTTTTCGCCCACCAAGTGGTCACTTGTGGGGTGACATTGAGCCAGAGAGCCACTGCGGTTGGATATGTGTTTTGTTGCTTAAAGAGCTCACGATCATCTCACGATGAAATGACTTAATTGTTGTTCAAGCCCCTGACTACGACTATGACTCGGCCTGAGACGGAAGTCCGAATGAACAACACAAAAATTCAACAGAAAAAGGCAAAACAGTTGAAAACAAATCAATTAAATCAATAATAATCATTAATAATAATCTGTAAGACTTATGCAAATTTCGTTGTATTTTTGACTCATCGTAATATCGCCTCTTACCATATTAAATTCATTTTTTTGCTCTGTCTACTTGCAGGTTACTACAGTTAACGCTGCCCAATGTCAGGACTATTTTATTACTGATGGTGAGTAGCGGTGGCCCACTCTGCGAGTGTTCACTGTGCGGAGGCTGGGGCGTGGCCTAGATTCGGGCATCGCCTTGATTGATTTATCTAGTATCTGGTGGTAGAACAGAAATAGTTTTCTCTCCAAGTGGTGCTTGTGTAAAATAATAATTTGCATTTTTACGACTACTGGGAAGGGTGCAGGGGCAGGGGCGGGGGCAGTGGCAGGGGCAGGGGCGGGGGCGGGGAGCGTGATAATTGTCTAAAGCTTAGCGGATTTATGGCGTATAATTTGTATATATAATCTGTAGGCAACTAATTTATGTGGGGGAAACCGCTGGGCGAACATAATTTCCAACACTACAGCAAACGATTCTCCAAGTGTATCGGCTGGCTGCCCGCTGACCCTTTTACCCAGTTTCGGCAAAAACAGAAGAAAGAAAACCATCTGGGATTCTTCAATCTCAATCGAAAACCCCCCCCCCCCCCTCCACACGACACACTTGGAATAATTATCATGGAAAAAAAAGCACACACAAAATGTCAAAATATTGTTATGTGTACGCGCCATTTTCTGCTTTTGCTTTTGGCCCATAACAAGATCGGGGAGATTGAGTGTGTGTAATCGAAAATTCGAAAATTTGAAAATGGGTGTGGAGTGGGGGGGAGACCCATTCGGAGTTTTGATATGAGAGGAGCGTGTGTACTTTGGAGTGGCTCTGTGGCTCTCGGCTGTGGGGTCTCTGCACTTGAGCCTATCCATAAAAATAATAATAATTATTATTATGATTATTACAAAGACACACACACACACACACAGAGTCATGCTCTAGCAATAAAGCGTCATTGAACTATGGAAAAGGTCGCCCATCAACAAAATGAAACAACATTTTCGAGTTTTCGAGTTTCGAGTTTTGAGCTTCGAGCAGTGCAAACAGAAGGGGGGTCCGGTCCGGTCCGGTCCCCATCCATCTCCCATCTGTCACACTGGCATTCTGTCAACTTGAGGCGGATGAGGCGTTGACAGCCAGAAGACTGCACGGCACTGTCGGTGGAACTGTAGGAACTCGAAGCGATTGGCCATGGCCGAAGGCATTCCATTCCATTGGTATTGGCACGCGCCTCCACAGTAGTTGGGTCAATTTGTTTTGGCTTGTGATAGCTCGTGGGTGCCAGCACACAATCCTCTAAAGCCCTAGGCATATATTTAGCACTTTGCGCAAAAATAACTAATGGCCAGTGGTGGTCGGATTCCTTGGTGCCGTGCGCTGCCCCGGGGCATGATGTATGAGTCCATGACTCCGATAAAAACACTCGATTCCCCCCCCCCCCCACTCGATCCATGCCGACTGACGTTGTTTTTGCTGATTTGCATGCGTGTTATCATTAAATGTCTTGGTGAAATTCGGTTGGTCAAAGGTCAGGTGGCTAAACGTGTCATCCAGAAGAGCGACATGAGCCAGACACGTGCATGCCAGTGGGCGGAGTCAGCTCCAATCGGAAAAAAGGGCAGGGCTAGTGCACATGCAACGCCCACAGCTGCCGCATAGTGCAGCTCCCAATTCAATGTCAGCTTAATCCACACTGCAATTTATATGCACAAGCTGGACTTTGGCAGATGTTCCCAGGTTCCGACAATGTCATGCCTTGCCGCAGGCAATTACCTGGCTTAATGGGCGGCCCCCACCCAGCTGGTGGCTCTCAACTTTGACCATAAACCGGCCTTGGGCCGGCAGTGTCACATGTGTCCCTCGGGAGGGACACCATAATAAAAAGCTCATCGTATTAATGGAAATTTATGGGGCAAAAAGGGCTGTGTGCTGCTGGGATGCTGTGCGGCTAGGATTAGTCGCCAGATGCGACTTTAATGCAGACGAATCGGCTATTAATCGCATTCCTCTCTCCCTGTCTCTTCCCCTACAGGTAATGCTTGCTCTTGGGATCATAACAGGCGCAAAGAAAACAGACGAATATGTTTTAACATTGAAGACAGACAACGATCGTGCGCTGCACATCAACGCGCACGGCAAAGTGACCGCAGAGGATATATCAGTGGCACGTAAGTACAAAGATCTCTACCCCCAAAACCAAACTGAAGCAAGACAATGCCCGGGTTCGTTCATCAATTACCATTGGCATTTAAATTAAATTGGCATTTATACTACGTATGTACATTCCATGTCCAATATATGTTTTGAACTCTGTCTCAGTTCCAGTCTGTGGGTGTGTGTGTGTGTGTGTGTCTGTGCATATGGTGTGCTTAATTAAATTATTGGTAATTTAATATTTGATTGATGTTATGAACCGCCACAATGCCGCCCCAAGCGGCGCCCCTTGCGGTTTATTTCGATCTGCCTCTGCCTCTGGCTCTGCCTCTCTTTTAATTTATTTCGAATTTATTTTGCTTTTTCTGCGGTTTTCCAAGCTTCTGTCGCTGTCTTTGTGTGTTTTTGAAGTTCAGGAGCAGCCGCAGCCGCAGCCTCATCGGTTATAGTAGGTTGATGCGTGAACGAAAGCGACAAGAGCAAATACAGACCAAGCCAGACCGCAGGGCCGTGAGAATACAGGCCCAGAGGCCCACACGGGTACAGGCAAAACAATCAGTGAGTGGGGCGCCATTGCGTCACTGATAAGGTCAGGAGCATTGGAAGTGGAACTAGCAGATCAATACTCACTCGATTAGCAGCACAGTTCAAAGTTCCATAAATTTAAAACAATAATCAAAAATCAATGAGAATGAAATGTTAAGGCGAAACCTTTACCTTTTTATAGTACAAATGCAACAATGGCCATTCTTTTGTACGGGTTTCCCTGCACTGGCATACCTTTTTCGATCAAATTCGTGGAACCCTATTGGAAAGGAAACAAATTGTCACTTTGGTATTTTATCTAATCAGACCCAGAACGCTGGCGTTGGGGGGGGTGGGGAAATACTTGGGGTTTAGTCAACTTGATCGATTTGCTTTTGCCATGCTCCCGAAGGTCTTCCCCCAGACACCCAAGAAATAATTCCTCCACTGAGAATTATCAAAAATTGACAGGTTTTCAGGGTTAAACCGTTTATTCTAAGAGGCAAAGGCAGGTTCAACGACTGAAATGCGGCAGTAATTGACTTAGTTGATTGTCCCAACTCGGAGCTTGGAGCTGCTGCTGCTGCTGCTGCTGCTGCTTATCAAAACCCCCTTTCATAACTTTATCGTAGAACCTTTCAATTAATTGGGTTATCTGCAGGCGGTTCTGTTCGGTTCGACTTGCCTCAAGTGTTGCCTCGTTGTAGTTGTAGTCTTGCTGCTATTTACACAATAGAAAACACTTTTGTTTGCCAATAATTATAATTAATTAAATTTGATTTTCGATTTGCTTGCTTGCCCTCTTTCCGCAGAATCCTTCACAATGGACAGTGTGGGCGATGCACTGAGTGTGGACTTCAAAATAACCATCTATGCCAGGGATGTCGACTACTATCTGTGCTTCCATCAAGGCAGATTGGTTGGAAAGGTGAGTTTCGATTGCCACATTAAAGTATATCTTTAGTTGACCTATTCTTTGCCTCTCTCTCTGAGCATCTTTCTGTCTCTTGCCATCCGACTAACCCAAGTTCTTCCCTTCTGCTCTCTGCTTATTTGTTTCCTCTCCATGCAGAGAAACGCCACAAACGATTGCCACTTCAGGGAGTCCATGGATCATGGCTATTATCAGTTTACACACGCCTACAATCCGGTGCTGCATGTGGGCATCAAGCGCAACTTTAGGCCCATTGGACCGCGGGACATGGAGCGGCCGAAGCGTATGCGCAATGCCTGTTTCCTCTTCTATCGCTCGGAGGCAGAGCATTTCCACAGCAACATGGCGCTGTTGGGTGCGCGGAAACACAAGTTGGCCAAAGCCAAGAAAGCGACTAGCACCACGCCCAGTACTACCAGCAGTAGCAGCAGCACCACAACCAGCACCACCCCTAGCCCTACTACAACAACAACCACCCTTCCCCCAACAACCCCAACAACAACAACAACAACAACAATGTTGAGCCCAGTGTCAGTGTCGGGCACGAAACGCGTGCGTGGCAAGCCGCGTCGCCCCGCAGCAGCACCATCTTCAGCAGCAGCAACAAGTATTACTAGCGATAGTTCTTCAATAAACCACAACAATACACCCCACAATAACAACAGCAACAGCAACAGCAACAACAATAGCCTTAAGTCCTACAACCAAGCCAATAGCAACAACAGCAAGAAAGTCAACCATTTGGATGACAGATTGCAGGAGCAAAAAATCATCAAACGAAACTGGGAACGGCGGCAGCACCGCCAGCGTCAGCAGCAGCAGCATCGACTGCGCCAGCGGCATCACAGTGGCGCCGCGGGTGCCATGCAACAGCCGCAGCCGAAGAACCTGGAGGTGCGTCACCATCACAACAACGCCACCCTCATGGAGCGGCGTAGACGCCGGCTGCTGGAGCGACGCCGCCACAAGCAGCAGCAGCAGCAGTGGGAGCAGGAGCAGCGTGAGGGGTCGTCGCCGGAACGCGATACCGAGCACCTGCCCAAGGCATCCTCGTCCGCCTCCTCATCCTCCGTGGCGCTGACGGCCACAGCCGCCTCGCTGGCCCCCTCCGCCCTCAATCTGGTGGCCATGTTGGCTGCCAGTCGCCGCAAGCGGGACAGGCGGAAAAGGTCTGCTGCCGCTACCGCCGCCGCCGCAGCGGGCACAGCGGCAGCCGCTGGTGCCGGTGGGGCGTCCACAAGTGGGGCGGACATGCAGCTGATGGAGATGGCCTCGCAGCGACAGCAACAGCAACAGCAGCGGCAGCGGCAGATGGAGCAGCAGCAGCTGGATGAGGTGCGGGAGCAGCAACAAAATGAATACTCAACCATACCCTATGTTAATAGAAACCTAACCCTAAGCCCAGAGCAAACCCTGCAGCTACCACAACACCTAAACGTAAGCCGTAACCTAAACGTAGTAGAACTTAGCCTTAAGCTAAATAGTAATAGCGATAATGTTAATAATGCAATACCTGCCTTGCCAAAAAACTACAACTACTTGTACAGTAACGAGCATTATAATATGAATACTAAAAGTAGCACGACTGATTCTAGTACTTTAGAGACTAGCACTAAGTTCGATAGTCCAAATAGCCATAGCCATAGCCATAGCCATAGCCATAGCCAGAGCGCGTTCAATCAGAATATTGACAATAATCTTAAGGAATCCAACGATCGAATTGACAGTGTGGCAGCTGCAGTTGAAACTGCAACAGCAAGGGAAAGAGAAGCAGAAACAGAAACAGAAACAGAAGCAGATGTGCTGGAGAATCGCAATCATATTGATGCTAATAATATAGTCGACGAGGACGAGGACGAGCATGAGCACGAAAAAATTATTCTAAAGAAGCTTTTTCGTAGCCTAGAGCTGCCACAGCAGCAGCAGCAGCAGCAGCAGCCTCAGCAACAACCTAATATTGATAACTATAATGCAAATATTAACGTTGTTAACGATAATGATAACGACAATGGGCTGCTGATCAATAATAACCATAATAGTAATTATAACGAGCAATTTGCGAATGACGATGAAACGATACGAATTCAAAATAATAAATATGAAACACATATAGTACAATACAAATCTGTGGTACTTATTTCAAACATTTCCAATTGGTAACAGCTGGCAGACAAGGTTTGTACTAATAGGTGAGATTATGGTGAGGGCTCTAGCAATCCGGAAACATCTTTGGCAGCAGCCCCACACACACATTTTGAATTGGAATTCCCCCGCCAAAAATTCCACACACACATAATACGAAAATCATGTAACATTTTGATAAGAATCTCGGACAATGTGACAATGTGTAAATCGACGGACTGACTATGACCTCAATCTGCTTGGATAACAATAAATTGTGAAGCGGGTAGAGTCGCCACAGAGCCGCCACAGAGCGTGGGCGCTTTTCGGCAATTTTCATCACAAAAAGATCTCGTTGTGATTGTTGTTGTCATTTTTGGGGCTGAGGGAAAATGTTTGATAGATGTTGACACCGCATAAATCATAAATAAAGATTTCATATTAATTTATGCAAAGCATCCAAGATGTATGGCGTGTCTGAAATTAATTAACCAACATTTTTGTATGCTGAGGCGACCGACGTATGCCCACTACCAGTGACCAGTGATCAGTGATCAGTGATCAGTGTTGGCTGTCGCCTGACTTTTCTACAAAAATCTGTGACAGCTCGGCTCGAAAACAAAGGCGGGTGGACAGGGTCGGCCAAGTGGCGCCGTCTGCCTCGCGAGCCTCGAGCGAAAACCGCAAACGAAGCAACGCCAACGCGGCAGATGGAGCGAGTCGCTAATGAAATTTTATTATACGTTCAAAGTAATAATTTATAAATATGTTTAACAAAAAATAAATTTGTTAAGCGATAAATTTAAATACGCAAAGCACTTGCCAACTTTTGTAAGTCTCGCTGTCTATGAGACTATGAGGCAGATGCTCTCCAAAAACATAGAGCGCCAGCCCCTCCAGCAACCTTTGACTCGTTTTGGGGATCTGCCATTGAATTAATGGAGATTTGATCAGATAACTAGTTGGAAGAACAGACATCTTAATGAACACTCCACGGCACAGGCAAGATGTTATTTGGTTTAAACTTCTGGAAAGTCATAAATTGGTTAAAAATTAAACGTAGCCTCTCGCTGTTTTCAAGTGAATTTTTCCACAAAATATCGAAAATCCCACCTATTTAATAAGCTCAGTATTATGTCTAAAACTTGAATGTTACACCTCTATCTGGGCTTGATAGCCGGTTTGATGGCTGGGAAGGAAGGAAGCTACAAATACAAATACAAATACAAATAAAAATACAACACAAAATATCCAAACAAATGAGATACAAAATTTGCATGAGAATATGTCTCGGTTTGGCGTCAAAATACTTCAACGGCAAATAGCTCACTGGTTTTTGAGTAGCGTTGAATTTATCACCCGACGAGCAGTGCAAGAACAACCCGACGCGGTCTATAGGAATGTCGGTCTTATATGCAAATTATTTAATTTTATTACTTTCTTGTATACAACAACAAAATTCGTTTTATTTGGCTACCCCCCTCAAAATCAAATGGTCAAATGGTTTGGCGCCTTCGAAAATTCGTTTGAATTTTGCGGTTGGCTTTTCGTTGGCTGAAGTTGAATGTTTATTAGCCAAATTAGCGTGTCAGGTGAAATTTAAGCAGATTTTAGTTGAGCATCGTGCGGCTGTTTATGGGAAAATGATTAGATCCGCTTACGGTCGGGCATCTGAAAGATGTTTTTTTTATGCGTTTATTTTTATGACACTTATTCTAATGAAGAAACATTTTAAGCTACAGCTTAAGTGACGGAAATACCTATTCAGCTGGCAGTCCCCAGTGCCCAGTCCCCAGTCCCCAGTCCCCAGACCTCAGTCGCTTCTCTATCCGCAAAGACTCATATTCATGTTGATTTTGTAACCATTTTTCAAGTGCAGCTTACGGCTGTGATTTTGCCAACTCTGATGACAGTCAGCCATTACGGAAGATTAGTTGGCAGCTTGTCTATAATTGTTGCAAATTCAAAACATTTGCATAAAGGAAACGAGTTTCCCTCTGCGCCGACAACTTGAGAACTGAGAAGAAGAAATTGTCGCCTGCAATGGTGAACCAGGGAAACGAATTGAAACAAGTCCTTAAGCACGTCCAAATATTTATGGCACTCTGAACGCTGTCTACGCGTTGCAGACCTCCCAGAACCCACCACTGACGCATTTGCCAAAAAATTATGATTAAATCAATGCGAATTTATGGTCATTAATAATCATATTTATAGCCAAGCACAACCACAAATACAGCCACAACATTCCGTTAACAGTTTGGCGCCATTTAAACGGCGCGACATTTTATAATGCAATAATTAAATCCAGCAAACGAATCTGTCTTCGGTATGAAAAACAAAGCACAATGTAGAGGCACTTTTAATGGCATCGTTAAAACAAATATCGAATAAGGAATCATGATGGCATCAAGAAACACAAAAATAAATAGCAGATCGTTTTACGACTTTCGCGCCTTGGAAGCAGCTCATTATTTAGTTTATTTCGATTCGGCCAGACACACATTTTTGTGTCTCTCACTTATACTTAAATGTAGTATATAAAATATATGTTAGGGGGCGGGGTGGAGCTTGGGTTTTTGGGGGAATTCCGATAGTCGAACCGGTTTGCGGGGTTCGTTCGTTCGGTTAAAATTAAAATCTGACGCGTACTCAATTAAGTTTATTGCATTGCAAATCATGTCCGTAACCCATTTTTATGACAGTCCAGAGGTGTCAAGATGATTTGTCAATGTTTGGCCACGCCCCAAGTCCCAAGCCCAAGCCCAAGCCCACTCCCACTCTCGGGCAGTCACTCTCTGCTCCCTGTCCCTCCCCCCTGTACACACGCCATAAAAAACGTTGGCTGGCTGTCTGGCTGATCTGGCGGCAACTTGTTGTGGCACTTGCCTTGATGGAATGCTAACTGTAGCTGGTCCCCGCGCTCCGACTGCATCTTCTCTCGTTTAAAGACATATTGCGGGTGTTTTTTTCCGACTACGTTCGGTTCGGTAATTAACCACTCACTGACCTTCCTCATTGCCGGTTTTTGGCATCTTCCTACAGCCTACTTGGGAGCCATGTCTTGTGCAAACAATCACAACTGTTCAGCCTCGTCTGCGGCTCATCGTGTTCTTAGATAACTTTTCTTTTTGTTCCCGGTTCCCATTCGAAAAATGGGTTAAAGTCTTTAAGCATTTTATGGGCAGAGAGAGAGAGAGATCATTACGTGGGCAAAGTGAAAACGAGCATCAGAACGTGACCCCAATTAGAAGTAGTAGATGCCAGAAGGTACATCAAGGGAATCTTCAGACGGCACTCTAAGATCTTACAGCAACTCTGCGCTCTTTTATTTGTATATTTTAGCACTTAAAAATCACATTTTATTGTTGCATTTCAAGTATTTCAAATATTTGCCAACACCTGGGAAAAAATGTGACTGCAAGTGCAGAAAAAAATGCACAACTAAGCGGCCAAGACATGAAATATTTTCTATAATATCGCGAGCATGGGGCAATCGAAACGGCAGCTAGTTGACCAGTTACCCCGCCTGTCAATCCCTCATAGACTAAAGACTTAACAATTTGACAAATGGCCGGGCCAGGCAGCTGCAGCCAAAAAAAAAAAGAAGAAAAATCGACATAAATTCTCACCTACGAGGGCGATGGGAAAAACACGCAGACGAGCAGAGACGGTTAGAGATATTTGTTTTTCGATTTTATTTTTATATTTTTGAAAGTGCCAACTACTTGACATTTGCTTTCCCAGACGCGACTCCCAGACTTTCAAATGTCCAACGTCGAACTTCAACTCTGTCCCTGCCTCTCTCGCCGCTCGCCCCCCGGTCAGGTCATCTTTTGTTTGGTCCGAAAGCTTGGGGCTTTCAATGAGAGTCGGATGGAAATTCTTCCCCTTTCTATTGTCGAAGAGCCTTTTGTGTTCAACTTTTCATTTTCAATCAAGCCTGTCAAATTTGTCAAGCTCGACGAGTTTTCAAGTGGCCGGCAGGAAAAAAAAAAGACACAAAAAAATTACAAAAATGCATTCGAAGATGCGCATTCCCAGTCCCCGGCCACAGAGTGCAGCAGAGTGGGGCAGAGTGGGGCCTGGGGGCTCCTAATCAATGGCATCTAATTAAATGGCGTTGATTGTTGTTGCCACTTTGACAAATTGTTGCTGTTTATTTGTCGGCCTTTTGATTTTAATGCGTTTTTGATTGGGTCGAGACGGCTTACCCTCGGACTGGGAGCTGGAGGGGGAACTGCCGTGGGTTCTACAGAGCAGGGCAGTGCTGAGGGACCCAGGGCTGGGCTAGGTGTGAGGCATTTTTGATTTATTTCCCCACCTAATCAGATAAAGTAAAAAGCTTTCAGTTTGAGTTATATGTTCACCGTTAGAATGTGTGTGTGTGTGTGTGTGTGTTTGTCTGGTTCCAGGGTAGGTTCTAGGCTTTTTCTTTGGTTTTTATTTTGCCAAAACGGAAATCCAGTTTGATCGTATTGTTTGTCTGACTTTAAGATGATCTCAATTGGGATTAGCATGTGCCACAAATCAATGGAAAGAAAGTGCGAACGATCGTTGACACATCCTCGAAGATTAATCAGGCTTAAGCGGTACTTTAAATATAGTTTTTGAGCTTCAATGCCCACAGCAGTTGCCAACTGTAGCTCCAATCGTGTTGCTTTTATGAATTATTAAACACCTTTTGATCTTTTAATCTTGAGAATTTTGTGTCCAAGTTAGGTGTCAATATCCCGTTCTATTGACGCCCTCGAACAATGGCCAACGAACACGTATTCAAATCTAGTCTCTGGCACTCGTTTATGTGTCACTATTTCGATGCGATCGTTTGCTGGTTTTGTACCCGTCCCAGGTCTTGATGGAGCTGGCTTCGGGCATGTCAATCTGATGATCATATCAGCTCCGCTGAGGCCACGGATGATGACTTCATGGCTCAGGCTAGGAGATGCCCATTTGAATGAGTAAAGAATATTTTTAAATAATTTCCACTTGCTGTGAGTTTTTATGGATTTTCAAACATAAGGAGCGGAGGAGCCAGC